ACCTTCTAGGCCTTGTATTTGAGTTGCATGATTGTTATTTTGTTTATGCTATTAGCAAGAACATTATAACGATTTCATGCCTAGACTCGGACGATTTCAGATTTGTTATTGAGAACAAAGGTCTATCCATTTATAGAGGTGATGTATGGACTCTGGTTGATGCATCTTCAAGAAGAAGACCGACATGGATGGCAACGTGCACACGTATAAGGCACGACTTGTGGCGAAAGGATTCCGTCAAATTCATGGTATTGACTATGATGAGACCATTTCGCCCGTAGTTATGCTGAAGTCCATCAGGATCCTACTTGCCATAGCCGCATATTATGACTATGAGATATGGCAAATGGATGTCAAGACCGCGTTCCTTAACGGAAACTTGACCGAGGATGTGTACATGACAAAACCCGTGCAAGCTTCAGAGGTCCATTTATGGACTGAAGCAGGCTTCGAGGAGTTGGAACCTTCGCTTTGATGAGACAATCAAAAAGTTTGGTTTCTCACAGAACGAGGACCAGCCATCTGTTTACAAGAAGGTTAGTGGGAGCACAGTTGTATTTCTAGTGCTGTACGTGGATGACATTCTCCTTATAGGGAATGACGTTCCTACCTTGTAAGACGTTAAGTCTTGGCTAGGAACGCAGTTTTCTATGAAGGACCTAGGAGAAGCGGCCTATATTCTAGGAATAAAGATCTATAGAGATAGATCGAGGCGTCTTCTAGGATTGTGTCAGAGTACTTACATCGATAAGGTCTTGAAACGGTTCAAAATGCAAGATTCCAAGAAAGGAACCTTACTGATGAGCAGTGGCACAGTTCTCTGCAGGAGTCAGTGTCCTACGACACCTGATGAGCGAGAACACATGGACCGGATTCCATATGCTTCGGCAATTGGATCCATCATGTATGCCATGCTCCTTCTCAAGTACTTTAGGATGTTCTTGACGGCGATCCAGTGCGACTCACCTGGATCTGACTGGTATCTACTCGTAATGCTCAACGCGTAGGATACATCCGGTCGAGTACAAAGCATGGCATACATGATGGATCCAATTGCCGAAGCATATGGAATCCGGTCCATGCGTTCTCGCTCATCAGGTGTCGTAGGACACTGACTCTTGCAGAGA